ACTTGGTGGGAGTCGGTTTAGTGGCAGCTCGGTTTTGTATTGTTTTTTAAAGAACATTGTTGTGATTAGCCATCTGGACAGTCTCTCCTCAGGCTTTAAACAAGCCACCAAGCCCCTTTGTTTCCTGAAGAGTCTGTGGTGATGGCTCTAGGCTGCCTCTGCGTGTTTGCTGGGTCCACTCCATTCACACACACACATGGACACTTGCAGAGCTATGCATGGTAAGAACCAGTGATAGGTGTGTGCTCTGCCCACACTGTGTAGATACCCTCAGGGCTCCACATGAAAAGAGCCAGCTGAGACAGCAACTCCTGACCTGAGCCAAGAACAAGCCCCGGGCTGGGGTCACTTGCTGTGATCTAATCACCAGGAGGTGTCTGGAACTGCCCCCTCATCCACGAGCTGAGACAGTGCTGAAGCTGAGGCCGTGTTTACTGAGTCAGCAGGAGAATGAACAGCCAGCAACAGTGACATGGAGGCCCCGCCCAGCGCCCCTCACCTGCAGGCCCCGCTCCTCGACCCGCCTCTGCAGCACCTGAAGGCCTTTGGTGAAGTCGGTGTGGTCTTGGTCAGGGGTTGAAATGAGCTCACAGCCCTGTGTGGTGAGGAAATGTGAGAGTAAGTGACCACTTCCGCCCCAGAATGTCCGCCAGAGGTAGAAAGATAAGCTGGCATGCCTACACTGTCCTCGAGACCAAATCCTCCTATCTCTGTCCTCCGTGTCCCAGGACAGTACAGGGACAGGGCGTCAATCTCTTCATCATTCAAAATGATGCTGACAATTGACCCAGTGGTGAGAATCTTGATGTTGAACTTCAAACCACATTGAAGGCTGCAGTCAAGCAGCAAGTGTTTCAGGTCCTCCTCAGTTTCATTAAGAAGGGTCGTGTCATCTGCATAATGTAGGTTGTTGATGAATCTTCCTCCAATCCTGATGCCACATTCCTCCTCATACAGCCCAGCCTCCTGTATAATCTGTTCCACATATAGGTTGAAAAGGTATGGTGATAGGACACACCCCTGGCATATACCCTTTCTGATTTTGAACATGCAGTGTCTCCTTGATCTGTTCTACCTCCTGGTTCAAGTATAGGTTTCACATTAGCAAGACCAAGTGTTCTGGGATTCCCATTCTTCTCAGTCAACCACAGTTTGTTGTGATCCACACAATCAAATGCCTTTGCATAGTCAATGAAACACAGATAAACATTCCTTTGGTATTCCCTGCTTTCTGCCAAGATCCATCTGACATTAGCTATAATATCTTTAGTGCCACGGGATAGTTCTCCAAAATGTACCATCTAAGTCTGTGGAAAGCAATGACATAGAGTCAGAGCTCCCCTGTCAAACGAATTCTTCCGTCACGTTCTGCGTGCTGCTCAGGAATGGGAGACATTCTTCAGAACCCTCGGGGAGAGGCAGCTGCGATTGCTTTGCTCTAGAGCTAAAGAAAGGCAGCGGTTGGCGGGGGGGGCTACACAAACACAGAAACAGCTGATTGAGCGGGACATGGAAGATGGATGAGAATCACCTGCGAAAATGAAGCGGCTGGAGACAGCAGATGGAGTCAAGTCACTGCGTTCTGCTCAATGCTGTGCACATGCCATCCGCTTACTCACTTATTATTAGGATTAGTATTATTGTACTGGTTTATTTAAAAGTTCCTATACATTGCTTTTCACACCAGATCTTTCCCATTTGCTTTACCCACCTCTTCCTCCACTCATCAATTTGTACAACCCTATGATTAACCACCCCCACCCTTCCTCACCCCTCGGCCCCCGCTCCCCCTCAGATCCTCACACTCATTCTACAATAATGGTCTTATACAACACTTATCTTTATGGGACTGAGTTCACTTAGCATAATGCTTTTCAGTCCCTCCCAAGTTAGGCAGTGATTTACAAAAGCCTTGCTCCTGAGTGCTGCGTAGTCTTCCATCATGTGAATGTACCTAAGTTCTCAATTCATTTGATTATGGTTGGGCATTTGGACTGTTTCCATGTTCTTACAACGGTAAGTAACGCTGCTGTGAACACTGGTGTACAATCTCTATTTGTGCCTCAGTTCTCATTCTCTCTGGGTATATTCCACTAGTGAAAAAGCTGGGTCATAAGGAATTTCTATGTTCAGCTTATTGAGGAAACACCAAACTGCCTTCCAGAGTGGTAGTACCATTTTAAAATCCCACTAACAATGTATAAGAGTTTCCATCTCCCCTCATCCTCTCCTGCATTTATTACATGCTGTCCTGTTAAACTTTGCCACTGCTACTGGAGTAAGATGGTATTTCATTGTATGGGGGGCTGTCATTCTGACCTGCGGTAACATAGTCCATGTGGACCCTTCTCAGCCACGTGGCCACCTGCTTAGTCACCAGGACAAGCTGTGACAAATGTTCCTGTGATGATGCTTGACAGACACCCCGCTCAGACCTTATGATTGTGATGGTCAGTGGGAAGTACTGTTTCCATTGGAGGCCCGGTGACCTCAGGCTCCTTTGTGGGTACTTGTCACCCTTGGGCATGACGACATCCATGCTCCGTGAGAGACACTCTTCACCTCATGCTGGGGCAGAGCACTGGTGGGGTCTGTAGCCCGTCCTGTCCCCAAGTCAATCATCTGCTGGTCACAACTCATAGCACCATGAGTGCTGACGAGGACACCCCAGCATGCTGAATGGAACCTCTGAATGACAAGCTGGCAGGGCGATGGTGGCCTCTATCCCTGTGCCCAGGTCACTGGACACTGAGGTGTACCCGCCTAGGTGTCATGCTCCTGAGGCAGGAGACAGAATAAATGCTCAGAACTCTGGGAGATTCTGGAACTGTCCCAAGCATCCATCAGACTCTCACATCAGGGATTCCTGGAGTGAACAAAACTGTGTCCACACTCTCCACGGAACTTAGTGCTCCTGCTTACCACACACTCTTGAATATTCTGTCCACTATGAGAAGTCATGGCAAGGCCATGGGTCCCGACAATCCTCCCAGCTTCAAAGACCAAAGCAATCACCCTAAGGCAGCCATTGTCCATCCTCCAGTCTCCTGCCTGCCAATAACTGAACTCACAGAGGGTAATGGACTTGTACTTTCAATGTCCAGAGATCCTGCTTGGTTACAGTGTGCTGACTCCTTCAAATTCTTAGCGGGAAAGAAAATGAGTCCTCTGAGAAACATTACACTCAGGTATTAACTGTTATTCATAAGTCATATGTTGCTATAGTGACCGATGGACAACACAAAGCCTGGGCCAATTATCAACGTCATGAGAAATGGGAAAAAAAGGTTGAACTTGTCAAAGTTTTCATTTCACTTGGCCCTAAAGTCAACACCCACAGATCCAGCAGTCAAGAAGTCCAGTGATATAATACACTGGGCACATCTGGAGCCAAGAGACCCTTCAGAGTGTCCAGCAAAGATGTGCTAAGGTGCATCTGGCCCCAAGGCATGACCTGGTCAGCTGCCCCAAATGCAGGGGGCTCTGATGGCCTCGCTTACAGCGAGGTGCACAGCTAAGCCATCAGAGTGGCCTCTCCTGAGGTTGAACCCACCAGCCAGTCCAAGGGGCCGACAGGAGACCCCTCCTGTGAGATGCACGGCCCCCTAAAACATGGTTTACTTTTACCTTTTTGCCAGACTTCCTTCATTCAGGATGTTTTCCTGGTTCTTCTATGTCATAGCAAGTATCTGAGCTTCATCTCTCCTATGGCTAAATAATATGAACCGTACTTCGTTTATTCATTCAACTGTTGTGTAGTTGCCACATTTTGACTCCTGTGAAGAGTGCAGCAGTGAATCCTGGTGTGCAAGGAAGGATCTGTTCGAGCCCCTACTTGATGTCTTTGCATCTGTATTTTTAATACTAAAAGAGGATTAATGCAGGTGGATAATGCACTAAGCAAGTTAAAGTTTTACACAGTCAGAGATAAATGTATTAAACCTTAAGTGCTGACTATATAATGCATTCTGATTCTGTTTTTTATAAATCTGCAGCATATTGTCTTCTTTATGGCACTCAGAGCCCCTGTTTCTACATGACTGAGAACTTGAGTGTGTGTGTGTGTGTGTGTGTGTGTGTGTGTGTGT